CGGGGCCGCGCTGCCCCCCGGGCCAGCCACGGGGCGCCGTCGCGAGCCGCGCCCGAAGCCACGGCGCGGCTCCCCACGGCGCGGACGCCCCAAGCGGAGGGCGGGGAGGGGGGGGGGGGATCGACCCCTGGCCTCGGGTCGGGCCCTGTCCGCCCACGGGCGGACTTCGGAAGGGAAGGAATGAAAATAGCCATGGAAAGCGCAAGGGTACTCGAATATAGTCGAAGAATCGCCCGCACGCTATTTTTGACCAGTCTCGAATACTCCTCATGTAGAGTGACATGCCCGACTGAACCCTCGCCCCACGTGGCGAAGAACTGGGCAGGAACTCCTGTCGGCCTTTGTCACCGCACCGTCTCGGACCCCCGGACGCAGGAGGAGAGAAGCAGGGAGGACGAGGAGGACGGAGGGGGAGGGCGGCGGCAGCACCGAGGGAGGACGAGGAAGGACAGGGAGGGGCAGGAACGACGAGGAAGGACGAGGAGGGGGGAAAGGACGACGAGGGACGAGGAGGGACGAAGGGCGAGGAGGGAGGACGACGATTGAAGAAAAACGACGTAAACGTAAACTTTCGACGATCCGCGGGGATTTCGATAGCCCCCACACCCACTTCTCGTCGCGAGATGCGCGGCAGGGGCGGCGCTGGAACCGCCGCCAGGGGGGACCGGCGCCGATCCGAGAGAAACCCGCGCAGAGCTCAGGAAGCTTCTGTGCATGCCGTTGCCAATGACTCTCATGATTCTTCTTCGAGACGGCGAAGGCGGCCTCGCTGCCCGGAGCCGCCGGCGCGGCGGCGAGGCGCGCGCCGAGGCGGGGAGGAGGAAGGGGGAGGAGGGAGGGCGGGGGGGGGGAGGAGGGGGGAAGGGGAGGAGGAGGAGGAGGAGGAGGAGGAGGAGGAGGAGGAGGAGGAGGAGCGGGAGAGGGAGGAGGAGGAAGGAGAAGGAGGAGAGCAGGAGCAGGAGAAGGAGGAGGAGGAGGGAGGAGGAGGAAGGGCGGGGGGGGGCGGGGCGCGGGAGGCGACCAAAGTGGGCAAAGCGCGCCGCACGCAGAGAGGCCGCGGGGAGCACCCCGAGGCTGCGGGAAGGGGCGCGCGCCTCCGTGTTCCGCTTCCACAGCATGGTTGAGCCTCGCGAACGCTGCCCCGCCCGAGGAGGAGGCTAGGCTGCTCCTCCTCCTCCTCCTCCTCCTCCTCCGCCGCCTCCTCCTCTTCCAACCCACCATCCACATCCACCTTCTCCTCCCCTCCCCACCTCCTCCTCCATTCAGCAGCTGCAGCACGCGTCATCTTCATCAAGTCTTCATCACATCATCATCATCATCATCATCATCATCAGCATCATCATCAGCAACATCATCACCATCATATCATCAAGAACATCATCATCATCATCAATCAGCATCATAATCAGACATCAAACATAACCAACATAAATCATCATCATCATCATCATCATCAACATCATCATCATCATCATCATCTCATCTCATCCTCATCCTCATCCTCAATCCTCATCATCAGCATCATCATCATCATCTTCAATCGCAATCATCATCATAATCATAACAATCATCATCATCATCAGCACACATCACATCATAACCATCATCATCATCATCATCAAACGGAATAGAATACAGCATCATACAGCAGCGTCATCATAAACGTCATCCCAAACCATCATCCAACCCTCATCGTCACAACGTCATCATCGACACATCATCATCACCATCATCATCATCATCATCATCATCATCATCATCATCATCATCATCATCAGCATCATCATCATCATCATCATCATCATCATCTCATCATCATCATCCATCATTCATCATCGTCATCATCATCATCATCATCATCATCACCGTCATCGTCCTCATCCTCATCTTCAACCTCATCCTCATCCTCATCCTCATCTTCATCATCACCATCATCAGCATCACCATCACCATCAGCATCATCATCAGAAGCAGCATCACAATCATCATCAGCAGCAGCATCATCAGAAGCATCATCAGCAGCATCGTCATCATCAGCAGCATACCCATCACCCTCATCAGCATCATCAGCATCATCAGCAGCATAAAAACTAATCATCATCACCATCAACATCACCATCATCATCATCACCATCATCATCATCCTCATCATCATCAGCATCGTCGGCAACAGCATCATCGTCAGGAGCATTGTCAGCATGATCATAGTCATCATCACCACCAATATCGTCATCGCCATCATTATCAGAATCATAATCCTAAGCAACATCATCAGCATCATCGTCAGCATCCTCATCAGCAGCAGCATCCTTAGCATCAGCAGCAGCAGAATCAACATCATCATCAGCAGCGTCATCATCATCATCATTGGCAGCGTCACCATCAGCATCATCAGAATCAGCATCAGCAGCAGCAGCATCATCATCATCGTCAGCATCATCATCATCAGCAGCAGCATCATCATACTTGTCATCTCAATCATCATCCTCCTCATCAGCATCAGCATCATCATCCTCAGAAGCAGCCTCATCATCACCATCATCAGCATCGTCATCATCAGCATCGTCATCATCATCAGCATCGGCATCAACACCACCACCAGCAACATAGTCAGAATCATCATCGTCAGCATCATCATCAACCTCAGCATCGTCATCATCATCACCAACACGATCGCCACCGTCCTCATCAGCATCAGCATCATCATCAGCATCATCAGCAGGAGCATCCGCAGCACCATCCTCATCATCACCCTCATTTTAATTCGCATCATCAGCATCACCAGCATCGCCACCATCAGCGTCGTCAGCATCATCAGCCTAGTCCACAGCATCATTAGCATCATCCTCAGCATCAGCATCAGCATCATCAGAATCATCAGAATCACCATGATCCTCAGCATCACCAGCATGGCCATACTAATCAGCAGCCTCATTATTAGCATCAACTATATTACCGTCATCGTCAACATCATCATCACCATCATCATGATCATGGCTTCATCATCATCATCAGCAGCAGCATCCTCATTATCAGAAGCCTTATCATCAGCAGCAGCACTTTCAGCATCGCCATCATGATCACCAGCAGCAGAATCATCATCAGCGTGAGCACCATCAGCAGCAGCAGCAGCATCATCAGCATCACCAATAAACCTCATCATCAGCAGCATCATCAGCATCATCAGCATCATCATCCTCATCATCAGCAGCAAAATCATCAGAATCATCATCAGCACCAGCATCATCATCATCATCATCATCATCATCATCATCATCATCATCATCATCATCATCATCATCATCATCATCATCATCATCATCATCATCATCATCATCATCATCATCATCATCATCATCATCATCATCATCATCATCATCATC